AAATCAGTATCACGAGTATCCATTATATTTATAGTATTTTCAACTAACATATCAACACACAAGTAGTGACATTGCTAAAATCATCACAGACAGCCTCACCTGCCCGAGAGAATGATGGCACTAATGATGTATCTAGTTGGGTAGCTGATGTTGAAAACAAGTTTATAAGTGATGAGGCAGCTTTAGTAATAGATGTTGATAATTCTATTATTTAGTATCACAAGTTGCATTTGAGGATGTTTCTAAAAAAGCAACATTATAACTATTTATAAGTAAGTTAAAGGAACATGAACAATGTACAGCATAATAAATATCATAATAAACTTACCACAAAAATTGTTTATCTTTTGACATTTTGCTACATCTTCATTCATTTTCTTTTGTTTTTCAGCTTTTAATTTTCTTTTTATTGATCCCATTCTTATTTTATCCGTATTTCCTTTTAACAAAATATTTAAAAAATGTAACAATAGAAACTAAAAAATTATTATTAATTATGAAAAAACTCTTTACGTTTTACTTATTTTTAAAAACGGAGCAATATAACAAAACCATTTACATTTAGAAAGAGATTTTTCAAAAAATTTAAATCAATTTTTTCTAAAATATTACAACTTTCAACTTAAACCACTATTTTTAAAAAATTATATTATTTGATAAAAAGCGAGATCAGATCCCTATTTTGATTATACGAAAAATTTGACTAGCGCTAGGTCCGAAAAATTGTTTCTCGTTAGCCGGATATATTTTAAATTTGCTTAGAATAAAACATATATGCCTTTTATATATGTTCTATTTAGTGCTTCCAATACCGGTAGTACCGGTACCGGAATACCGGTATTACCGGACATTTTTAAGTACCGAAATACCGGTATTGGTTTGGCTCAATACCGGTATTAAAAATATATGTAGAGGGCTTATGATATAGCAGGTGCTATCGCCCTCTTTACGTGAAACACTAAAGTAAATGAAATACTTAAAACTTTCAACAACGCTTCCGGTAGGAAAAAGATAGCTAGATGAGAAAAGACGTGTTTAAATTGTCTAAAAAAAGTATTCTACGTACTTTATACTTAATATCTAGTTGCCAGCTCATTTCCCACTAGGTTTGGTAGGAAATGAGCTAGCAACTAGCCAGCGAACAGCTAGCGTTTAAGACGTATAAAATACGTAGAATACTTGTTTTAGACGATTTAAACACGTCTTTTGTCATCTAGCTATCTTTTTCTTACCGGAAGCGTTGTTTGATCGTGACTGGAAGTTTTAAGTATTCCATTACTTTCGTGTTTTCATTAAATAATGAAGCACCAATTTAAAATATTATCATTACGTCACTCGCTTTAATGTAGAACGCATGTTTGAATTTTGCACTAACATAAATATGAAAAGTTTCGGTAATGTAGAAAGTGGGGCGTTTAAGTAACTGTGATCAACAGTTGTGCATTAGGCATGGGATTCAACTAGGTATTCAAGATATTTTGTACAAAAAAATTGTCAATTTCTGCAAAAAAAACTTGAAAGTAATATGCAAAAACAGAGAAAGTGACGAGGAAATACTGATGACACAAACATAACCAATAATGATGAAGACTTTTCCGGCGGGTTTCAAATTGTAATGAGTGAAGAGAATGACTCTATTGAACTGACAGATGATTTGCAGCCGTAAATCAAAAAGGTGCGCACCGTTGTGAAATTTTTATTTCGCCGTTCTCCGACAAAAAATGATCAAAATTCAAAAACGCACGTTAGAAAAATTTGATAAAGATATTCCACTAATACTTGGATTCAAAACTAGCTGGGTTAGCTTGCACACAGTACTCGAACTTTAATTTTCGCTTGCACACAGTACTCGAAATTTAAGGTGGCTCACCCCTATTAAAAATCAAAAAAAAAATTTTTTTTTTTTTTTTGTTTTATGCTATTTCAAACATTGAAGAACAAAATCCATAATCAATTTTTACTACTATGTGCTTTAAAAGTAACAAAAAGTACAGTTATTGTGGTCAATGCACTTTCCTATTCCATAGCAACGCCATAGCAACGGTGTAAACAACAATTTCATTAACTACTTCTTAAAGATTTTCACTAGAAATTTTGAAGTATTTCTCTGTGTTAGATCTATTATGCTTTTCTACTGTTCTGCAAAGTATATCGTTTTTAAAAAATGTGCTTTGTTTCATTATTCTGATGTATTTTAACTAAAACTGTCTGTCTGAATTTAACTGAAAGCTATCTAAATCTAAATATGGCAAACAAAAGAAATAAAGTTAGAAGTTTAAAGAGAAAATATCAAGGAAACAGATATTCAAGGAAAGAAAAGGATGTAGTTGATTGTAGCAGGAAATCAGAAACAACAAGTGCATCAAAGCTTAAGAATAAACATAACTTTAATGGTGCAACGAATTGTGATTCTGAAGTCGACAATTTTTTTTTTATATGTAACTTTAGAGTTATTAAAAATATATTTGAACTGTATTCTACATGCAGTGAGTGTAATAGCAAGTTAACTTTTTTGCATAATAAATCTGTACGTATGGGATTTTCTATTGGAATTATAATACAATGTTCAAACTGTGGCTTTGAAAGTACATTTTATTCATCTCCAACTATAAATCAAAGTTCAAAACCTGGTTCAAACCCATATGAAATCAATTTACGAGCTGTTATGGCATTTCGTGAAATTGGACGTGGTAATGAAGCTATGTCTACTTTTACTGCTATAATGAATATGCCTCCACCTCTTACGAATCACAGTTATAATCTTACAAACAATAAATTACATAAAGTTTATAAGGAAATTAGTTTACAGAGTATGAAAGCTGCTGTATCAGAACTAAGAGAAATTTTAAATGCAAATGCTTCTGATGATGAAATTATTGACTGTGGCATATCAATAGATGGAACATGGCAACGTCGTGGATATTCTTCCCTAAATGGTGTTGTTGCTGGTCTTTCACATGAAAATAAAAAGGTGATTGATGTTTTTTCTTTATCTAAGTTTTGTATGCAGTGTGAAGTACATAAAAGAATAAACAATCCAATTGATTTTGAATGTTGGAAAGCTACACATAATTGCCAGGTTAATCATTTTAGCTCAGCAGGGTCAATGGAAGCTGCTGGAGCTCAAGAAATATTTCATTCGTCTATACAAAAGTATAATTTAAGATATACTAAATACCTTGGAGACGGTGACTCAAGTTCATTTTCTAATGTTGTTAAAAGTAAACCATATGGTGATTGTATTATTGAAAAACTAGAGTGTATTGGCCATTATCAGAAAAGAGTAGGCTCTCGTTTGCGTCAAAAAATTAAAGACTGTAAAGGCAGGTTGTTAAGTGACGGCCTAAAAATATCGGGAAAAGGAAGATTAACCAATAAATCTATTAACGCAATGCAGAACTTTGTTGGAATGGCTATAAGACAAAATAAAAATGATCTACTGTGTATGAGAAATTCTGTAATAGCTGTACTTTACCATTGTACAAATTTTCCTTATGAAGTTACTCGTCATCAATTTTGTTTAAAAGGGAAAAACAGCTGGTGCAAATGGCAATCAGATAAAGTTACAGGTAAAACAAGTTATAGACAAAAAATTAACTTACCTGTTACAATTATGGAGGAAATTAAACCTATTTTTCAAGAACTGTCAAACCCTGAAATGCTAAGAAAGTGTTTACATGGAATGACACAAAACTGCAATGAGTCATTTAATGGTTTCATATGGCAGAGATGCCCTAAAGCTACTTTTACTGCAAGAAAAATTCTTGAAATAGCTGTTTATTCTGCTATTTTAAATTACAATGATGGATTTACTTCTTTAAGGTATATTTTTAAAATGCTTGGGTTTACTGGAGGTATTTATTTCGAAAAAGGAGCTTTCAAAAAAGATAAAAAGCGACTATCAAGTATGTCAAGAAAATCGACTGACATGAATAAAAAACGAAGAAAACATTTAAGATCTATAAAAAAAGGTTATTTAGACATTGAGAAAGAGAATGAAGATGTAAACTTTTATGCTAGTGGCAGTTTTTAGTAACTTTTCACAAAAACACTTTTCTTTTTTACATTGTTTTATTTTTAAATGTGTTTTTTAGGACTTTCTTATTTTTATACGGTTTTCTTACAAAAACATTAATATCTTCAGTTTGGTTAAAGCTTTTATCTTCAAATTTTCACAGTATGTGTATTAACTTATTTATGAGGGCTGGAACTAAAATTGTAATATTTCAAGTATAAATAAATTATTTTCAATATAGTTTGTTAGACTGACACTGGCGATTAATTAGTTTTTGCACATTTATTGCTGCCATTTTAGTTTTTTTCCACATTTGGAAAAAATTTTAGTTCCAGCCCTAAAGCAATTATTTAGCTACCATTTGGCAAAATATAGTGTAATAAGTGCAAATTTTACTCAAGATATCATTGTTTTAGATAAGGTAAGATTTTGGACAAATTATGCTGACTCAGCATCAAAAAATGCAAATTTCATTTTTATTTTGAAAAGTTAAAGTTTTAATGTAATTTCCTTATATAAAAAATTAAAAACAAGTTTAGAACCTTTATAAACAAAAAGTTAGATTTAATGGGGGTGAGCCACCTTAAAAATAAAGTTTAATACCGGTATTATACCGGTATTGTAATTATTTAGTACCGATATACCGGTATTGAAAAATGGTATCGGTATTGGAAGCACTAGTTCTATTTACGCAAATATTTACCAGCAGACCACGCTGGAATTTTTTTATATTGATTTTTCAAAGAATCGTTGCTGAAGGTAAAAATTATGGGAGTTTCTAAAACGCCGAATTCTAAAAAGCCGAAATGCCGAAAAACCTTCTAGGAGAAACTGAATAAAAAACGGAATGAAAGCAACGAAAACCGGTAGTCAGGTAAGTACATGATTCCATAGCGTAAAGTTAGGTCCCGTAAAATGTTCCGCAATTGTCCCGCTTCACGTCCAGGACAGAGTTAACATAATTAATTTTTGCATTTATAATTTAATTTATGAAATAATTAATACTCTTTGAATGTGGAGCACGTTTTCACCTGGTTATCGTCGAAGATTAAATTTAAATTGGTAAAAAAATTATTATTATAGATAATAATAATTTAAATTTATTAGAAAAAACAACATTGAGTAGAGGTAATACAAGACATTTTAACTTTTTTAGACAAAATATTTTAAATTTTGAATATAAAAAGCTTAAGTTGATGTTTGTTTTACTACTCGTTTAAAAAACATTTCTCAGAAATGACATCCCTTAGAAATTTAAAAATTTTAAAACATTCCGAATGTTTTTAAACGAGTAATATAATATAAGCTTTTTATATTCATAATTTAAAATATTTTGTCTAAAAAGGAATTTCCTCTACAAGCACGCTTTAAATGAAGTATCAATTTCCACGTTTGTATGGTTTAATTTTTGTATGTTTAAATTTTTTAGTTGTTATTTCTCAAGAAGGAAGTTGGGTTACTGTAGAAACATACATTGAAGTACTTTTTTTGATACATAGCTACGAAACAGAGGCTGTATCAAAGTTTTCATGCTTTAGTGGCACTATAGCATGATTCATGCTATAGTGTATCAAAGTTTTCATGCCATGAAAACTTTGATACAGCCTCTGTTTCGTAGCTATGTATCAAAAAAAGTACTTCAACATATGTTTCTACAGTAACCCAACTTCCTTCTTTCCTTTCCTTTAGCAGCACTATTAGTGCTGCTAAAAACTGGAAATATGGTAAGACAATTTTAATTAAGTGTTTTTAAAATGCAATTGCTAAATTTTAATTTTCTTTTATATTTGTATAGTTATTATTTAAAATTTTTGTTGTTGTTGTTATCTTTAAAGATTCTTCTGCAAAACACCACAAAATAAAATGATTCAATATCATTTAATGGTACTCCCTTTATGGTTTTAGGATGTAAAGTGCTTGATTGTATGCACGGAATGATAGAAAAGCCTCTTCTAAAGAATTTTATAAAATTCATTTATTATTATAATATGTTTTTCTTTATCAATTTGTTTCTAAAATAGCTCCTGTATTTAATGATTATATGTCTAAACCTTTTATTTTTGTTCTTTTGTCTAATTTTCTTAATAGGTATCAGATCACAGTTTTTCAAAAAGCTATTTGCTATATTTAAATTTCTTGGTCACCTAAAAATTTAACTGTAATTTTCAAATAAAAATTTAGAAAGTTTAAAAGTTCCCAAGTTTTAAGGTTTTATTTCATTGTTTGTTTAATTTATATTATTGAAATGAGATTTAAGTCAGTCCTATATTAACTATTCAAGACATACATGCATCAACTTAAAATATAACCAATTAATTTATGCTAATTCTTTTTAAAATAAACTTTGTTTTAGATTGCTGAGGATACTAAATTTAGAAGAGTGCAATTCTCAAACCGTATTAAAGATGCTTTGTCAAGAAATAAAGTAGTAAGGGAAAGAGTGTTTCCAGTTTGCTTTCCTTCAAAAAGTTCTTATACTGGTCATTTTACTAGAGATGTAAGATTTCTTTTTTCTTTTTTCTTTTTTGTGTAGATAAAGTTAAACAATAGATTTTAAAAGAAAAAAAACATTAAAGAGTTATCCAAATTAATTTTCATTTCTTGTTTGCCTGTTTTAAACATCTTAAAGTTAGTTTATTATTTCAAACATGTTATTTAACTTGTTTTGTCATATAACATTTATTAAATTTTAACATTTATATTAATATGTTTCCATTTATTTAAACCAACAACAATAAGATTGTAGTAAATCTTAATTGCTATTTTTATTGCTGTTGTTTAGATTACTTAAGGCCTTAAATTTAAATGCCTGCTCCTACTGATGGTTTTGTTATATACTTGGTATGTTCTTGTACTATTCCTAATATATGTAATATTGTTCATACAAACTTCAATATTTTTACCAGGGGTGGGTTTTGTCACTCACCAAGGAGGTGGCTAAAATGGTTTTTAAAAAAAAAGGTCCGCCTTTTTTCACTTAAAAGTGACTTTCTTTAACTTTTTGTACTTTAGTGTAATAATCAAGTTCATATATGTATAATTACCTATAATAGTCAATTACCTATAATAGTCAATCCCAATGGGGGGCGGGGCAACTACCCCCATGCCCACTCTAAAACTCGCCACTGATTTTCACAGTCTGCTGAAGCTATTAAGTGTATTAATGAAGAGAACTGATCTATCAATCATTTTTACTAGCAATCAATAAAATATCTCATTGGAATTAGGAAGAAGGAAGCTTGTACTATTGTAAAATAAAATGATATCTGTTTCGGTATCATTATATATATTAAAGTGTACTTTATTTTAGATCAAATTGCATGATTTCACATTTATCCTTATTAAAACTGATTAGCCTTTTTTTTTCCAGTTAAATAAGATGTCAAGATCAAACTGTGTAGAGTGATTTATTTATTTTTTTTCTAATTGAGTTATTTTCTAAATTTTCAAAATATTTTCAAAAATTTCAAATACTTCTTGGAATATGCATCTTAAATATGGAATTCATATTTTAATAAAGATATAAATTTTATCGAAAAAGTCCAACAAAAATCCGCAAAAATTGGCTACAAAAGAAAGGGAGCAAGTTACGAGCAAAGATTAAAAGAAATGGGCTTACAAAATCTATCAAATAGAAGAGAAAACAGCGGTCTCATTAAAATGTTTGAACTTATAAACAACCATGATATTATCAATTAGAACTGTGTTCCACAAGTATTGGGTAGGCTTACAGAGGCCACAATCAAAGGTCAAGAAGACATTTTGTTAAAAACTTTTTGTTGAGACCAATTTTTTTACAAACCATATACAGTGGGTTGCCAAATTATTTGGGACACTTCACTTTTTAAGTAATTTTAAAGTTTAAATGATTTTTGCAAGCAAATAATTTTTTTTAAATAAAAAGTTTTGAGTGTATTTTAGTCACTAATATAACTATAGTTGTTTTTAAACTGTGGCAATTTGTGATAACCCGATCTGTCAAAAAGTTAGGTTATTACTCAATTAGCTGTCAACTTTTGAAAAGTGTGGTTGAAAGTCAAAAATTCAAAATTGATTTCAGTTAATTATTTTTGGAACAATTTTTTGCAAGTTTTTTGAGTTTAAAACTATTGAAACCTAAATATTCGTTAATAGTTCAATTAGTTTAGTTATTAATTTAGTATTTTTGCTACTTTTAATGCATAAATACTATTCTTACCTCTCGTTAATTTTTTTAGTCTCCAGACTTAACCCCAAAAAAAAAACAGAAAAGTAAAAACCTTACTTCTTCATTCTACACATTCTCAGAGAGAGGTTGCAAGCGTTTCAAAGTCAGTAGTGAGTCGAATTTAAAAAAAAAAATGGTACAAATGTGACTCTAGAACCAGACCATGTCAGCAAAAGTGGCAGTAAAGGATCACTACTCCATGTTATGACCGAAAATTTAAAGACATCTGTCTTGAAAACAGAAAAAAAAAGTGTGGCTCAACTAGCTATAATTATAAACAATGAAGGAATTAATGTCTCCAAAAGGACGGTTCAGGGACGGTTGGTTGAAGAGAATTTAGTGTGCTATCGTCCAACCAAAAAAAGAATGTTTAACTGAAGCCATGAAAAAAAAGCGACTGGGATGGGCTAGAAAACACCAGAATATGACTATTGAAGACTGGAGTATAGTAAATATAATTTATAATATTGTAAGAAACCAGAAAAATTTAGGATAAATATTTATTTTTGAAATATCTTTGATATATTTTGCAGGTCAAATATCTTTAAAACGTTTTACAGGTCTGCTTCTTGGGCCAATCAGCATTTCAAATTTTGATGGACAAAAGCTCATTTGTTCGACGATGCCCAGAAAAAAATTTCAATAGGACTGCCTTTCGGAAAAGGTTCAACATCCTGTTAGTGTTACAGCATTCCTAACTGAAAAAAAAGTACATGTTTTGCCATGGCCAGGGAATTCACCTGATATTAACCCTATAGAAAATTTATGACAGTTCATAAAACAGAAAATTGCCAAAAAAAATTATCACTACCAAGCAGCAATTGATAGAAACCCTTATAAGAGAGTGGAATAGCAACCTCAGTCTCCAACACAATGCAGAAGTCTACATAGATAGCATGCCCAGATGCCTGAAAGCTGTTATTGTAGCTAAGGGTGACATTACAAAATATTAGGATTATTACCTTATTTGTCATGTTTTCAAACTTTTTATAAAAAAATAAATAGCAATGAATAAGTAATTATGTTGTTTTATATTCTAAATAAAACTCTCTACCAATAAAAACAATTAAAAAAAATAACAATAAGATACATATTAATTCATTAAAGTAATTTGTTCTTTAAAATTACTTAAAAAGTAAAGTGTCCCTCATAATTTGGCAACCCACTGTAGTTAAAAAGTGTAATTGTTTGCATAGAAAAGTTGTCAATGCCATTTCAGTAATTGATTTCAAGAAAAAGTTTAAAGAATTTAGCTTTGATGAATTCGTTGATGATTTTTCAAGATTTTTTTTTGTATTACTTTGTTGTGATATCTTTCTACCATTAGCACCTATCTACCTTTTGATATCCATCTATCTTTATTTGGTATGCCAGCTTTTATACAATTCTGGCCTTCTTAAAAGTGTTGATAAAATGCAAAGAAGATTAGAGATCATTGCCTTAAAAGAAATATTTCAAAATAATGTGTGTCCAATAAGATCAAATAAAAAGTTTTTTCTATCAAATAAAATTATTTGTATTCATATGCTTTTGGTGTCTAATTATATAAGTTGTACACCAAATAAGTCTTGTGTGTTCTTTTAACAAGTGGCTGCAAATGTTTATAATGTATTTGTTACATTCAGAGTTGACACATTTTTGTTATTTTAAATTTGTTTATAATGTATTTGTTACATTCAGAGTTGACACATTTTTGTTATTTTAAAGTTCTAATAACTGTTAAGTTATTAGAAAATAAAGAATAGAGTTAAAGAGTAACAATTTGGTTGACACAAGAATTGAAAATTTGTAGGCTGTATGAGTTAGAAAAACATGATCACGGGAGAAAGTTCCAAAGGGTTCAATTAAGGGGAAAAAACTAAACAAATAAAAAATTTTATGGCATACAGGGACAGATACAGTAAAGAAGTGAGACTTTGCTAAATGACAAGTCAAGCAAAAATGAGTTTATAAAACTAGAGGTGAAAGCTCCTTTAAGTAGGGACCATGTTAGTATTTGTAGAATAGAGATGCAACTTGACGACGTTGAAAGAGAGGCTCTAGCTTGACAGATAGAGCAGGTACTACACAACTACATTTACAATGCATATTTGGACCTTATCTTGAGAACTAAGAGCATCTTTGGAAGAACCAGTCTAAATATGACAACATTATTCCAAACAGGGGCAAAAAAGAGGTTAGCAGATGTAGAAATGAAATCGGGAGTAAGAAAATGGCAAGCATGATAAAAAGAAGCAACTTTAGCAGCTGCTTTATTTTTTTGCATTTGCATTTAGCAATCAATTGTATATATGGTTTCCATGAAGGGTCATAAGTGAATGATAATCCAAGAAGAGGACTCAGTGAAGAGCTTGCTATTTATCAATATAGGAATGTCAACAGTATTGCTATTTGTATAATATAGTTATTTGTAGTAAATAACTAAGTTTGGTTGAAGTTAAAATTCACAAGCCATGCAAGCCTCAATCTGTTACAGAAGTTAGATCAGATTCAAGATTGAATTTTTGTCAAGGCAGTAGTATAAAGTTGAGTCCCCAGCAAATAAAGCCACCTTAGATGTAAGGTTGCCAGGAAGATCACTAATATAGATAAGAAACAAAACAGGATTAAGGATAAAACCTTGAGATACCGCAGATGTTACTGGAAATGAAGAAGAGTGTTGGCATTTAAGGATGACTTTAAATAAGTGGTTCAAATATTTATGATTTTTATAAAAACTGGAGTATATAATTGTATCATCAGCAAATTGAGCAATTAAATCACTTAAGAGGAAAGATTGTCACATAAGATCAATACATTAATATAGAAAAAAGCTCCCTTTGGTGTGACCTATATGGACAATATTAGGAGATAACGAGAAAGAGTTTCAAATTAAGGCTTTTTTTAAATTGTTTTTATTGTAGGCTTATTCCACTCTCTTTTTATTCGTAAGCCCTAATAAAACCTAATAGTCTGTTTTTGAGCACTATCAATGGGAATATTATCGCTGTACAAATTTATTGGCTTTTTTTTAGGATACTTATTACTTAAGTATAAAGACGTCCGAAACTTGTGTTGTTTAAAGAATCTTAATGTAAGTAAAGATGTTACTACAAAATAATAACAGTTTATGTGATTAGGAAATTATTTGTTTATTTAGTATAAGGTTTAAGTCTGTAATATATTTTTTGAGTTATTGTTTTTTTTAAACTTATTTCCAAATAACTTTAAGTAAATTTTTATGTTATTGTCAGTTATTTATTATTTATATCTAATATAAGTAAGGAATTTTTGTTTTTAAAATGTTATTTTTATTTATGTGTTTTTAAATTCTTTTTACATCAATTGATCTTTTTAAATCAAAATGATTCAGTTTATTTTATATTTCTCTATATCTATATGTATGTTTTCTCTTAAGAAAAATTATTAGGAATAGGAAAATTAAAAAATATTCTTTATATATTTATATGTTTATAATGTTGTTTCTATGATTTCAAAGTGGTGTAACTTGGCAAACTTGTAGAGCAATATTTGTCAACCTTACCATTCAAGCAATGTTACTGCTTTAGGTCTAAGTTTTGTCTAGCCTTTAATATAACTATACTAAAAAATACATAACATTATCTTTGATAATTTTTTGCTTAATGTTGTCACCTTTGGCTTATCTTTATGTTGGTGTCTGTTGTTTAAAAATGATTAATAGGTAGTTTCATTACTAGGACTCACTGCTTTTATTTATTTACTAAAAGTCATTCAAGACATCATTTCGCTATAAATACATTTTGTTCATCATGAAATATAAATATTTAACAACTACAATTCAGGTATCACAACAGCTAATCTCTATCAGGTAGATTGATTTTCAAATCATGTATTATGTTTTTGTTTGTATTTACTTATTCGTTACATTTTTTAACTTCAGATTTATCATATGGTGTATTTATTTGTTATAGAAGAACAAATCATTATAAATTTTTATGAATTTTTTACAAATATCTGCTGGTAATTAGTCCAGTCAACATTTAAAGTTCAATGTTGCATATACCTTTTTAAAGTAGTTTCTAGGCTTTTTTAAATGCTTTTCTTATTCAAGTGTTTTACAAGCAAGGTCTGCCAGTAAATAAGAGCTGAAAAGTTTTTCAGCTTTCAAGGAGAATTAATCTGTTTAATTTTATTTGTTTAAATAGAGTAGTTTAAAAAAATAAATGTTTGTTTGTTTTTCGTTTTTTACTTATTTGTTTTCGGATTCTTAAGAACTAGGCAACTTAGAGAAGCAAGATTTGTTCTTTTTTTTAGTGCAATTAGAAAGAGCTGAAGTGCTTTTTAGTCACTTCAAATCAATTGTTTGTTTGTTTTTTAAATAGAAGGATTAATAATAATAAAAGTTTTTAGACAGTTGAACTGTTACTGATTTGAGTAAGTTTAATACTTTGTTTTATTTTTTATTGAATTTATTTTATATTAGATATATTTTATGTATTTAACATGGAAAGCTGACTGTAATTTGTTTGACAGGTAAGTTTATGTTTAAATGTGCCAATGTTTCAGTATATTTTATATTTCTCTATCTATATAAATATTATCTTAAATAAAAAAGAAAAAAAAAAATTTGAATATATATATATATATATATATATATATATATATATATATATATATATATATATATATATATATACACACATACATATATTACTTTAGACTGACATTGCTTCTTTTTTTATAAAAGGTTCTGCATTTATTATTTTTGTGCATTAAGATTGTGTCTGAAGGTAAAAATAACTTTGTGCATTGTAGTCTAAATTCTTTGTTAAATTAAAAATAATGTAAAAAAATTTTGTTTTATATTTTTAATGAACAACTTCTTTATATAAACTTATAAAAATATATGAATATCAATAAATCTTAATTTAAAATAAAAGTCTTTGATTAGAAAAGATCACAATTTGTAAAATTATTTTACGTTCATTTATTCATTTGTAACAGTAGTATAATCACTGGTAATGTGTTTAATGATAACAGATGTATAATATTAGGCTCGAAGATGTTTTTAGTGTAAATGGTAATAGGTGACTTGAAAAATTGTTGTCAAATAAAAGAGATAGATTTAGGCCTGATAAAATTAATTGTCGTCGAAATGT